CACCCCCCCGGCCCCGCCCCGCCCCGCCCCCCGGCCGGCCTGCCTGCCGCGGTGCCCGCTGGGAAATGTAGTCTTTGCTGCAGCTGTCCCTGGCACGCGGGGGGTTTGTAGTCCTGCTCTGTGGGCCCAAGGCTGTATATATACAGGGACTTCACGTTTAACTTGGAACTTTTGTGCCACTTCGTATCTTCCCCTTCTGCAAGTTTTCTTTCTCTTCTCAGTCAGTGATGTCCCGAACCAGAGCTCATCGCTAATACACCCTGTGGCCTGTCTGACCCCAAAGAGAAGCATGCAAGCATGCTGTCTTTCCCAGAGTCTGGGAAAGATGTAGGGCCCCAGGTGGTGTGCTATTGTCGTAGTAACTCCTGGGTGGCAACCTCAGTCTCCCACCTGATATGCAGTGGGGCAATGGGCCTGCACTTCTACCTCTGTCCCCGAGCATAAGGGGCAAGGTTGGGGTCAGCCTGGTGAAGGACAAGGTAAAAAGAAATGTGGCTGTGGGATGGAGCTCCCCTCACCTCCCATTAGGAGTTTTCCACTTACAGCTCCCCCCTACCTAGGTCTCATCAGTCGGAGCTTGCTGGTAACCCCCACCACTAGCAAAATCAGAAATGTTCTGATCTTTCATGTCACCTTCCCCTGTTGAACATTACAGGGTGCTGGGCTATCATCTTCTTGTCTACTGTTGAGGTCCAGCCCTTGCTCAAATACAGGCCCTGGGACAGAGGTGTCTGGGTGAAAATATGATCAGCTTAACTCAGCTCAGACCTTCAGAAACTTTCCTGGAAATAGGTTCTGGTGGCATCAGCCTCCTCCCTAGAGGACCCATGACTTACAAGCGCACACACATAGGCATCCTTGGCACCTGGCATGCCTCAGGCAGCTCCTAGTGCAAACTTGATCCCAGATGAGGAAGTACATTTGGGATTCATTTGACCCCCTAGCCACACTGCTAGTGGACATGCATGTGGACATGCATGAAGTAAATCTGGTGATAGTTTGGTAAGTTATCATTACATCAGCAGAGCATTTTGGGTTGCAGAGTAGGGCCCCCTTTCCCTTTGATGCCACTACCACTGTTGGCATCCCTGTCTAGAAAGAAGCTGTGAAGGGTATAGGGTCCATCCCCAAGCCCTCCCTTATGTTCCATTTCTTTTAGAATCCCAGTGACACACCCAGAAAACTCAAAGCAACTAAGGGACAACCTGGTTCAGCAGACACAAATTCACCCCTGAGATCAGCAGAAGCAAATCTCACTCCCTACTCCCTGAGACCAGAAGCGGCCTTACAGGCTACAGCTGCCCTCTAAAAAACAACAGGCTAATCAACATGGAGAAGAACTATTTATTATTAGAAAAAGTCCAGAGTCCAGAAAAGAAAGCCTGAATCCAGAGAGAAGCCCCGGCAAGGTGGGGGGCTGAGAGGAAGAAGGGAGCCCAGGTGTCCAGGCACTGAGTCTAGGCGGCAGTGGCGAAGCCCACCCTGTTGTTGCCCATGTCGTAGACGGAATAGTAGGACCTAAGGAAGACGTCCCCGAGGATCCAGAGGGGCTGGCCATTCTGGGAGGGCAGGTAGGTGGCCTCAACCCCCACGGTGCAGTAGCCGTTGTTCTGCACAAGACAAAAGCACAACTCTCATTCATTTTGCCCACACATGGACAAGGCATGGGGTGCACGTGCAGAAATTAGTGAGCCAGGGTGTGTGCCCTTGAGGGCTCAGGCCAACCGAGCAGCTGGCGCAGGGGCTGATGGGAGGAATTTCTGGAATGGAGGAACACAGTCTGCAGTGACCCTCTGCAGGGACTCCTCTCTTTGTGTCCTCCCCCGACTCATCTCCCTCCTGCTCCCTGTTTAGAGCGAGTCAGCCTGGTGGTCAAGCCTTTGAGGCAGACCAACTTGGATCCAGACCTTAGTTTCACCCTGACTAGCTGCGTAGCCTTGAGTGAGTTACCTAAACACTTGGAACCTCCACGTATTCACTTGTAAAATAGAAATTAGTATCTTCCTCATTGAGTGTTGGGACAATTAAGTGGGATAGTGTAGACAAAGGGCTTTGCACAGTGGCTGACCTTGGTAAGCACATAACAAAGAACCCAGTGCCTCTCCCCACTAACTAATAATAGTAATGAATAATAGATGACACACTCTTCACAGCCTGGTTCCAGAGGAGGGCATTTAGAATCAATGAGTGGGGAAACTAAATCAGTGCTACAGGAAGTCGGAAAATGGCACAAGGTAAGTAGGCGGAGCGTTTCTGGCTCCTCACACCTTCCTCCCACCCTGATCCCTGCTCGCTCAGCCTGTGGGGACCAGGACTTACGTTGAGGATGTAGGAGGAGGGTGGCAGAGGGAACTGCACTCCGTTGATGATGAAGGTGAAGGTGGGCAGGTTCTGGATGTTGTTACAGTTCACAAGAAACTGCAGAGAGAAGAACAGGGCCCAGGTTGTCTCATCTCCTACCTGAGAGTAGCTCCCAACTCTGTCACCTCAGCCCTGCTGGTCCCAGGCCTGAGTCCCAAGCCTGCTTTTGGACTGAGGTGGCGGCACTCAAGGAAAAGTCCTGTGTAAGCACTGCTGGCATTATGTTTGTACTCACATACAGGAGACAGGATTTAGGGAGACCTGAGCATCTCTGCCACAGCCAAAACCTTACTTTTGCCTGACCTCCCCCGCCCCGTTGACAGATTGAATCTGTGCCCCCTCTCTACCACTGTCTTTTGCAAACACACAGGTCTGTGGAAGGAGCAGCCCATCGGTCCCGTCCCGCAGAGGCAGTGGGAATGCATTATTTAGGCAAATCCCTTGCTGGGCTCAGGGGAGAGGAGGGGCAGGGGGCCTGGCCCCATGAAGGTGGGGGACAGGTGGATTAAAAAGTTATTCTCTGTTGCTCACCAGCTTGGCCCCCCTTTCCAGTTATTTCTCTCTTACTTCAAAGTCCAGCAATTGTTCACCCTGTTTCCACTGAGGAGCTGAGGCTCAGAAAAAGTTCTGCCTAGAAGGCGCCTCCTCACAGCCACTCAGCACAAGTATCTGCACCCCTGAATCAGGCTCCAGGCCCCCATCCCAGTCATCCCAGGGTCCTGCACATCCAGTGCCTTGGGAAGCTTGAAGTAGGGAGGGCAAGAATCAGGCTATTTCTGGGCTCCCAGGAGAGGCCAGCCACGCCTCCAGCGACACACCTGTCCGTACTGGTCCTCCTGGGCCCCCGTGGCCTGCAGGAGGGCGCTCAGGTACTGCTGGGGCACGGTGAGCAGAGACGTGCCTGTGTCCACGATGGCCTGGCATCCCTGGGAGCACCAGCCAGAGGCCTGGCCACCAATGAGGAACCTGAACGGAGAGATGAGCGGCTTTGGCACCCCCAGCTCAGGGCAGCTGGGGGTGGGCTTTGCCCACCTCTGAGGGACTAACAGCTACAGCCACAGAAGCAAGGTGGGGAAGATAAGGACTCTGCAGAGGTCAACCCAGTCGTTCCTCGGCTCATACCAGAGTTTACCTAAGGCTACTTAAATGGCCATGGACTCTCTTCTGAAAAGTTCCAAGGAAGGTCTGGAAACATTGATTTGTGGTAAGTACTTTAAGCAAATTAGCCCCTCCCCAACTACCACACACCCCAATTGCTAATCTGTAAGCCTATAGAGCTAGACAACAGGTTCTGAAATGTTTGGGATTCCAGATCCTGCCCCTTCCTCTGTTGCCCCATCCCATCCCTTTTCTGCTGGCTGAGCTGGGCCTCGAAACTCCTGCAGAGGGTGGCTGTGGCTTTGTGAGGGCAGGCCTGAAGAGGGTGGGGGGTGCTCTGTCCCAGCCCCTCAGCGGTACCTGGCTGTGTGTGTGACATGAAGCCAGGCACTTCATGACCTGGCTCCAAAGAAGTGCCCACAGCCCCAGGGTCTCGCCAAGACTTACTCCTCAATGCCAATCTGCCAGTAGAGCTCCTGGGTGACCGGAGCCCAGTAGATCTGCCCCTGGTACAGGCTGTTGTCCACACCCCCGAAGATGACTGCTCCTCCGTTCTGAGAACCCTGCTGGCTGCAGGGGCGTAGGGAAAGGTGAGTCAGGGAGCGGCTGTGAGAAGGGACTTCCCTGGGAGCTGAACTTGAGTGTGGAACTGGGGGAAGCTCCTAAAGGCTACACTCGGGGTCATTATAAACAGAGGAAGTAAATCAGCAATATTAGTAACAGGGTAGGTAATATGGTTGGAAATCAGATTCCAGTTTTCAAGCTCTGGATGGTAGATGCTCTCTCTTCAAGGTGGTTGGCTAAACCTCAGGGGAAAGAAGGAAAGTCCATTCCAAGCCTCACACCCCCTCCTACTGCCTGGCTCCCAGGCCCAACCGCAGAACGAATTGTGTTCACTGTTGTTTGTGGTGAGGATAACCACTTGTTAGGAGTTAATGGTGCACTTTGACCAGAATCTGGGCCTGGCTCTGGTTCCAGGAGCTAGCAGGAACAACAGACCGAAGGAGATGAAGCGATAGATCACTATACAAAAGAAGTGTCCAGGTAGTAAGCATTGGGTCAGAAGGAAATGAGCTAACTGGGGACCTGGGCAGGCGGTAAACCCAAGAGGTATTAAGAATCAGCAGCAATACTCGAAGCAAGCTCGGCCAGAGGAGGGAGCGATGCTGGGGGGAGTGGGCTGGGGACAGAGGCAGGGATGGGGGGGCAGTCAGCAGTCCAGGAGGGAGGGCCCTGGGACAGCATGGCTGGGCCCAAGTGCTCTCTGGGAGGCCTCCGAACCCCAAAGGATGGAGTCTCAGCTGTCCAGGATGAAGGAGGTAGGGAGGGGCTGGGACCTGGGGACCCCCAGGCCATTCCTCACTTGCTGAGGTAGAAACTGAAGACGGGGCTGGTGAGGGCGCCCTCCTGCAGCATGCCCTGCAGGGCCGTGGTGGCCCCGCCCATGGCCAGGGCTGGGTAGGCCATGCCCATGATGCCATCAAACTGTGCATAGACGAAATTGGTACCCGGCTCATTCTCACTCAGGCCGAATTCCTGGTTGGGGACCTGGATACTCTGGACCTGGAGGGGACATGGAGCATGCACGGTGACAAGTGTAAATCCACCTACTCCCTCCCAGACATCCCCACAGACCCCTCAAGATTCATTCTTTATCCTTCACCTGTCCTCCTTCCTGCTTGACAGGTCTTGCAAGAGCCACTTTCTTTCCTGAATGGCCTTCCCTGACCACCAGCACCCCTTCCCAGGAGCTGGGCCATCCCATTTGTCGCGGTGTCCTCGGTGTCCTGCACGTGATGGCCCTGAACTCCAAACCCCAAAGGATAGAGCCTCAGTTGTCCAGGATGAAGGAGGTGGGGAGGGGCTGGGACCTGGGGTCCCGTGTCCTGCACATTCGGTGTCCTGGGGGTTCAGTGAGTGAATAAATGGGCCCTGACTGTGCTGATTTCCTGTCCCGTGCAGCGGAGCACGAGGTGTTTTCCATATGTTTTAGGGCCTCTGTCTAGATCTCTTGATTAGTCTCTGAGGCTTGTGAGGTGAGAGCCCACGTCCTGGGTGGGAACGGCAGCAGCATCACTCACCGTCATAGTGTCGTAGCCAAAGAAGCCAGTGAGGCTGCCGCTGCCGTACTGCAGGGAGAAGGTCTGCCCATTGGTGGAGTAGGTGGAGGACTGGCTGGGGTTGAAGCGGTTGTGCCCAGCTGCAGGGAGAGGGAGGATCCGGGAAGTCGGGCTGGAGCACGGGGGGCTGCCCTGGCTCTCAGGCCTGTGTTCACATCCTGTGGCCTCAGCGTACCCTGCCACCCATCATGTTGGGGGACGGGCCAGTCCAGGTTCCCAGCATTCAAAGGCCCACAGGACTGGACAGCCTTGGCCTCCAACTTACAGACTCTAGGGAGCCCTAGGGCAGCCATATCCCCATGGGCTGGTTGCACAGATCCGTCCCTGTCTCCCCAGCCCCAGCAGGTACCCGGGCACACAGTGAGTGCCTATAAATGACTCTCCAGGACCCCTTGCTTTCCCTAGCCCTCACCAAGTCAAGAAGCTAGCCATTCCAAGATCCTGAGATCATCAAGGGTGGGGCCAACGGGGGACCCTCTGGACTACAGGTGTGAGGACCCAAACCTCAAGGCTTTGATAGATACCAGAGCAGCCTTAAGACAGTGAACATCATCTGTCTCCAAATACGACTGCAGGACGGGGCCCACATCCTGTATTGTCCTTCTGCGTGCCTTGCAGACACTCAGTGAGAACTTAGTGATGAATGGAGCAGAGTGGAGTGGGCTGGAGCCGATGCAGGGATAGGTGTTGGTGAGCAGGGAGGGCAAGGCAGAGTTGCCAGTCCCGGGACCAGCTTCCTCCCTCTGGCTTGGGCATGCCATGTGACCCTGGACAAGTCCCTGGTCCTCTCCAGGACCAGAGCTCCCCCCAGCAATCCCTGTGAAGACTGCCCTTCCCCCATGGTGTCGGGGCCCTCCCCTGCCCACCGCCCCCTCTGCCCAGCCCAGCACTCACTGCAGGCCTGGCTCTGGCAGTACACAGAGGGCACCCACAGGTTGGAAGAGCCAGTATCGAAAAGAACCAGGAAGTTCTGTGGTGGGGTCCCGATGCTGATCTCACCGAAGTAGGCAGCCTGGGGTGGGGTGGTGGAGCAGGCTGTTAGCTCCGGAGGGATCCGGGACCTGCAGCCCAGCATCCCCCATGGGCAGAGCAGAGGACGGACCAGCTCCTGCCCTACAGCCCCCACCAGAAGCGGGGGCCTCAGCCCTCCCTCCACACTTGCCCAGAGCCCACAGCCCCTCAGCCTGCACCTGCCCAGGGCGGCTGCAGAGCTGCCAGGTCAGCCGAGCCCCCTCCCATGCTCTGTCCAGGGAATGAGGTCCAGGCTGGCAGGTCTGAGAGAAGGGGGCAGGGGTTGGGGGTGGGTGGGATGGAGGCGTGCCCCTCGCTGCCCAGGCCTTGCTTTTAGCCTTTGGCAGCAGGGAGAGGGCTTTTACCCCTGGGAGGGTCAGACTCACATCCATGTAGGCCATGGGCTCGTAGGCCACGCTGAAGTCACTGAAATGGTACTTCCGAGCAGGGTCGTACTTGTGGGTCTTCAGGAACTCCTCCAGTAAGCCCTTCTCCTTCATGGTTTCACGGATGGACTTGCCTTTCTTCAGGGGGACCCTGCGGCAGGTCTGAGCGTCAGGGCAGGGTGCCCCCTCTCCGGCAGCTCCTCCAGCCCACAGCCCAGTCCCTCTCCCCATCTCTCGCCAAGGGCCTCAGTCTCCCTGCCGCTCCGCACCCTGTGTCCGTCGCTCGTGTTTGTCTGCGTTTCTCCCTTTCTCCATGTGTTTCTCTCTCGGTCTCTTTCTCCGTGTCTGTCTCTGTCTCTTACTCCCTCCGCCTTTACTTTCGTCCCCTCTCCGCCCCTTTCTTTTGAAACTCTTTTCAGGACTCGCTCCAAGTTTCAGGAAATTGTCTCCTTCACCCTGATGCTCCCTCCCCATCTCAAGGGTCCTCATCCCACCTGGCCCTCTGCTCTCGAGTGCCCCATAGGTCCCTTCCCAGGAAGAGGTGAGGGACTCCAGGCATTACTCTCTGCAGGATATGTGCATTTTTACAAGGTTTCACAGATGACAAACTTCATCCCAGGGCAAGTCCTTTCCTGTGGTGGCTGACAGGCACCTGTCACCAGCTGGCTGTGACAGATTGTGGGTGCAGGGGAGAAGGGCTAGACGGGGGATGGGACAGCAGGGTCCCAGTTCTGCCTCCACTGCTAAATGTCTGGCCTGGGGCCACCCACTGCTCTTCTGGACACAGGAACAGTGGGCAAGTCGGCCTGTGTGGTTTGGGGCCCAGGTCAGCTCTGGAATTGGGGCTTGAGAATTAGGGGTTTCTGCCCGTATCACCCTGGGCTACCCCACTCCTGCCTGGGGCAGGGTGGGGGACATTCACACTGAGCTATTTACATCGAGCTTCTCTAATCACTTCTACAGAATTTCATGTTACAAGAAGTTTCTAAGATGATCCATCTTAGATGATCCACATAAGGAACTGTTCTAAGAGCCGAGGTGTGGCCAGTTCAGCCCTCTGGGTGTCCTGTGAGCCCTGCCCCTCACCCCCTTTCTCCTGACACCTCAGCACATGGAGACTACATCACTGATGTTCCTGCTTAGGTGATTGTATCATCTGCCAAATAAGTTTGGGCCATAAGGAAATGTTTAGCAAATGTCTCCCTACCCAAAGATAATTGTTCTTTTCCGTGAGAGGAACCACAGCCTCCATGCAGGGTCTGCTTGAGCCGTACGTAGACACCCCTATTCTCTGTTTCAGGACCATCTTTCCTCCCTTTGACTGGATGTTTCCTAGGGGGGTGGGCAGACACTGTGTCTCCTCCCTCTTGTAATTCCTGTCCTACCTGCTCAGGGAGCCTGTCCTGCCCCTGGCAGGAATTCTGGAGCAGAGGCAGGTGGGCTGCCCCCTGCCCAACCACCCCTCGCAGGGCTGCAGTCTCCTGCCCAGGCTCCTGCACCTACCACCAGGCCCCAAACTCACTTGATTATCGTCGCCTCCAGGAGCTGGAGGCAGAGCAGGGCCACCACCATCCACTTCATGATGCCAATTCCCGACTGTCCACAGAGCGAGAGCTGCTCCGAGCTGGACACTTGCAGGTAATTGAAAGCCTGAGCCCTCCGTCCTTTATACCCCCGGTGTCCAGAACGGTCCCTGCCTCCCCGCCTTGGGCAAGCATGACCTCAACCCACAATGTAGCCCGTGCTCCGTGTACCAGTTGTTTCTGTGTGTTTTCCCTCACGAGGGTGGCCGCAAAAGACTTTTCATCTTATTGACTTTTCAATACAAGTATGGAGGCCAGGAGGCACGAGCGATAAGAAAGAACAAAGCTGAAGCAGCAAAGATTACTTCTCACCCAAGAATCAGAAGCGTGATGTGGGCATTTGGGCAAGAGGGCCAGGGAAAGACAGAGCCAGAGGGGGCGCCGTGGGCTCTGGAGGTGCATCTCCCATCCTCAGTACTTCTGACATTTCAGAATAAAAAATTCTGCGTTGTGGGCAGTGCCCTGCGCATCACAGGTTGTTTAGCGGCACCCATGGCCTCTGCCCACGAGATGCCAGCAGCGGTCCCCCAATTGTCTCCAGGTGTTGCTACTTGTCTCCTTAGGCTGAAATTGTTGAGAACTGTTGGTTTATGGGTGACAGGCTTGGAGGTCTGACTCAAGTCCTGGCTCCCAGCACCCCCAAGCTGTTGGGGTAAGGGGCTGCAGTTAGGGGCACTGGGGGCTGATGGGGTCAGTGACCAGGATGCTGGTGATGCTCACGGTGCTGGTGAGAGTGGTCCTCGGGGTGATGGAGGTGGCACCGGTGGCACTGATGCAGGTGGTGGGCGGGGACGCCAGTGGCTGAAATCAGAGCTTTTGGGGGCAGCTTTGGAGGCTTTCAGGGTCCAGTGGGGCATCTGGAGAAATCTTTATTACAACTCAGCAAGTTCTCATGACACACTGGTAGGGTAAACCGAAGTGGCTTCTGGCCGTGCCTCTCGTGCTAGTCTGGGACACAGCCGGCTCTTGCTTCTTTTTGTCTTTGTCTCTCTTCTCCAGCCCCACTGCAACTCCACCCCTGATTTTCATTTTCCTGAAATGCTTGTGTCCCCTGTTACTCTCCTCCCAAGCCCTTGTCAGCCCTTTTTCCTGCCCCCAGGTCTGGTCTATCCTGTGCCTCTATCCTTCATCTCCAGGCCCTACCTGCTTCCCAGCTACATGCTTCTCATTGCTTAGGGTGACCTGGAGCTGGCCCAGCACATTAACCTGGCAGAGGAGAGCTTCCCACTTTTGGGTGAGTGGAAAAAAAGCTCTCTGCCACCTGGTACCCCGCACTCAGGGTTCCAAACAGATTTGTGAGGCCCCTCAAGCCCCAGGCAAAAGGCCAAGACCAGGCCTGCCAACACCAGTGTTACCCAGCCAGTGGGGGATTTTCCACTCTGGCCACCACCAGCGCTGCCCAGCCAGAGCCCTAGAGCCTCCCCTGGCCCTGTGAGTGGGGAGGGGAAGGAGGAACACATCAGAGGTCTGCCCAGGCCTGGCCTGGACAGGGAGGTACCTGCCTGATTGTGTCTCAAGGCCAGATCAGCTCCCATTCCTCCTTGTAGTTCCCAGGGACACAATGGACTCTGGGATTGAATGCCTTCCCAGGGGCAGGGGATCTGCAGACTAGGAAGCAAAGGCAAAAGAAAGTCATAGGATCCTTGGAATCTCACCACATCCTCTGAATATAGCAGAGTCCACAGGATCCCCCACGTCTTGCAAGGCCT